ATCGTACCTCGTTTACCTCTGTCAAATTGTTGCTGCGGCTTTTGCCCTTTGTTGTGGATGATTATTTTTTTTGTATTTTTTAATTATTATTCAAAAAAGTCCAGCATCAAAAAAATTCAAGCACCTAGAGCTTGGAGAGCATCCCGCCAAGATTAAAACTCTATCTATATGCCGTCTAACATAGGCTTAATATAGGGTATGTTGTTATTGAAGAAGATGGGAAGAAGACATTTGGTTTGGCTATCAGCGTCATGTACTGCGGAATGTTTAATGTAAAGGGCGGAGTCAGGGGCATCGAGGGGGCTAACCCTAAACCCACGCTAAAATTCAGTTTAAATAAATTATTACATTTCATAAAATATGTAATTAGTGACCAAAAGTAAAATAAGTATTTGTCCATTAAAAAGAATCCCATGTAAAATTACCACCAACCCAGATATCTTTATAATGATGGAAGTTAATAATGTTGTTTATCAGTGGTATAAGCATTGTAAACTGTCCACATACAGTTTTTATCAATGTAAACACAAGTAATTATACTGTCCATTTCATAATGACTTTTATTCAGTTAATCAGATTAAAATAAGCCACCAGTTCAACCACACTGAACACACTGACACTGAATTCAGCCTCCGACCTCGACCATCCTGAGTTTATATGTGTGTATGTGTGTATATATATTGTGTATATTATATGTGTTGTATATATATATAGTATATACTTATATATATCTGTGTTGTATATATACCTACTATATATGTGTGTGTTATATGTATATATATATATATTATATGTGTGTATATATATACTCTATGTGGTGTGTATATATATATGTATAATATATAATGTGTGTGTATATATATATGTATATATATATGTGTGTGTGTATATATATCGCTTTACCTAATATATATGTGTGTGTATATATATTGTACCGCGCTGCCCGCCCCCTACACCCTACGCCACCTCTCTCAGCCCTCTCTGGTGCCTGGACATTACTGTGTGCTATTATATGTATATTAATATATATATATATATATATATATTGTTGTATGTAATAATGTATATGTATAGGTATATAGAATGACACGGAAAGGGACTTCCAGCCAATCTTTTTTTTTTATGCAATTAACTTTGGTCCATGACTTTGGGGAAGTTTTAAGGGAGAGAGTGGGGGGACAGTAGAAAAAAGCGCTTTTGTAGACACCTGTCACACCTGGCCAGCAGCCAATCAAATCAGGCAAGAGCGGGCCTTTAACCACTTCCTTCCTGTTTTTGATTAAATTAAATGGTTTAGTAGCTGTTTGAGCAGGAGTGTAAGTGGGGGGTAAACTCCAGCCTTTGACATAGTGGCTGACGTGTATTAACGCGATGGCCTCAAAGATTCACAAGATTAGAATGATTTATTCCCATGTCGAGTTTATGGAGAGCTTCAACTGGAAGTTAGCCGGCTAAGCAAGGGACAGTTTCTGGTGTTTTTGATCGCCCCCTGTTTGTGTGCACTCTCACTCCACAGCTGCAGCAGCTGTTTTTCCTGACGCTCTTCATCGAGGCGTCCTCTGTGCTGATGGCTCAGTATATTTCTGGTCATTTAATTTTATTTCAGAAACATAAGATTTATTAATATAAGCCTTATCAAATGTTTTTGCATAAGGATTCCAAATGAATGATAATTACCCAATAATTTATTCAGCTGTAATGTAAAATATCAGAATGATTTATATTGGATTAATAAAAATATCCACCTTCTTTTGTTACCGCGGACTCCATAAGTTTAGCTGTTGACGACAGGCTCGTTTTTCTCACTTCCCTCGTTCGTCTGCACCGCAACTCTACTCAACCACACCGCGCTTTCTCTTTTGTCTTGCGTGTCACACGAAACATTATGTCAATACACTCAACCAGAATACATCCCACTTCTCAGCGCACCGGGTCATTGTGTTCCATAAACACCCACATTTTGTGTTAATAAAAGGCCTGAACCATCAGCCTCGCTTCTCACAGCAGCTTCAGAAAGATCTTTTTCTCTATTATGCACAGTGGAAATACTTTGACGTCCTGGACATAATTTTCCTCTGTTCGTTCAAAATGTTTGTATATCTGGAAAACAGTTTGAGTTCCGCCTCTCTCTCTCTCTCTCTCACACACCACACACACACGCACACACACACACACACACACACACACACACACACACCAATAATAAGTCGTGTTATTTGTATGGAGATTGAAGAGACTGGGTTGATTGAAAAGTCGCTGGTGCTTGTGTGACGGACGAATCCAAAACCCAACATTTCTGTTTTACAGTAATATACAGTAGTCTCCGATGGGAGATATGTCAGTGTGTAATAACCAGCTTTTGTCTTAAATTCTTAGCTGTACCAGAATCCCTGGCGTCTCCCTTTTGCCTGGGAAAGTCTCGATTTAAAAGTCTTAAAGTCAGAGGCGTGGGAAGAGGAGAAGGAAAGAGGACCAAATCAGATGATGCTGAAGGTAGAACATAAATTCAGTGTTTTCTTACTAATGTATTCACAATTTATGAAAGTACCACAATAAAGCTGGTTATTGTCATATAATGCACTGATTTTCTGTAAACTAAATATTTTTTCTTATTCATTACTTTCTCAGGTACTTGATATGCCATATTGGATGTTTTGGAGCCTCATTCCTAGTTACCCAAAAGGTACTGTTGTGGTTGTGGTTAAGTCTTTTACCCAAATTATTAAAAATAGTAACCTAAACTTAAAGCTATCTGTCTAATGTGAGAGAACACAAACTCTCACTGACAATGAACCCAGTGAAGAGACGAGGACTCCTAAACGACATATTAAATCAGTTTGCCTCACTCCACATAAGGTTTATTTGTATCAATACAGAATACAAGCAAAGCTGTCTCGAAGATCAGCTGAACTAAACAAGGTCACATTTGTTTAAACTTTCATTAAAATGAATGTATCATCTATCACCCGGCACATTGTTCCCAGGTCGTCCTGTCCCAAACATCCCCATACACCCACAGTGATCCTTTAAAATCACAACTCACAAAACTGTATCCCAGGGTGCATTTCCCTGCTCTTAAGGAATTAGGTTTTTAATCCAATTATTCCTTTCTGCATTTAAAACTTGTTGTTTTAGGCAGAACAGAAAATGTTTGTCACTGATCAGTGACTGAAGTTTCAGTTTATATCCACTTGTGCATTTTGGTCACGCTTGCCAACAAGTCCACCAGAGCAACATTGAAATACAAAAATGAAATATGAAGCAGTTTCAGCTTTGTTTGTCATTGTTGTCATTTTGTCTGCAGTGATGGCGAGTCTTGAACTACACCACACTTTCCTGAAGCGTGAAGGTTGGTGATACAGTTTTTTCTTAGCCTTGAAGATTGAAAATGATTACTTTATTACATCTGATGTGTGCGTGTTTGTCTGTTATGTCTGCTTAGTTCCACGGTGTGAAACATACAGCAAACTCAAAGAAAATGAGAGATTTCCTCTGCTGGGTGAGTACCACAGGAGAGAATAAAGACTTTCAGAAATCATACATACACTATGAATGTTTTTGACTTTTCTTTACCTTATCATTGCAGGTCAACAGTTCCTGGTCATACACGACATGGTCAAACAGCATCAGTGCCCAGGAGTGGGATTTGTGTGTTTGCTCTGTAAGAGGAGGTTGTCAGATGAGGAATGTCATGCTCATGTGTTTAGTCGGGAACATGTTGCAACATTTCTGGTGAGTATATTATATTATATTATATTCTTAACACTTAACTGCAAAATGTAAGGAGTAATGCCCGATGAGGTGTCCATAATCAGGAATTAATGGACAATGTGGAGTCAATTAATTCCTGATAATGGATACCTCGAAGGCAATTTTCCCGCTTATACCATGGTCACTTTTATAACCTTAGATGGTTAATAATTCCGGGGTGCCAGTACCCTTATAACACAGTGACACAGTTTTAGTCTGTAACAGTTAACAAAGAAAAAACAAACATTATTTGACTTGGCAACAGGAGATGCTTCTAGTTCCCTAGAACACTGTGTACGGTGGACAGACGATAAATATAATCTGACAATATGTTTAACAACAAGACAAGCTAGCTATCAGTCATGTGACTGTCCCCAAATCAATATCAAAATCAGACCACAGCATAGAAGATGGCTGAAGCCACCACAGTCATAAAAAGTCCTGAGGAGAGCCCTGCACACTCCGAAGGACCTCAGTCTCCTCAGCAGGTGGAGGCGAATCTGGCCCTTCTTGTAGAGAGCATGGGTGTTGTCAGTCCAGT